GGACCCCAGTGAAACATTGATTATAAAGAGTTCTGGAGTATTATAGCAATGAGCACTCCGTCCTCCATTTATGCTTGAGCATGATTTTTTCATGGAAGATTCTCATTGAAGCTGATGAATATTTTGTCTGAATAAGGACTTCTGGATAAGGCACAGCCAACTAGAATGTGGACAGCAGCAGTACAAGCTTCTTCCAAATACCACTTACTATTTCCTAACTCACTCCTACAGGGATTCTTTCCCAGGCAATTAAGTGGGATTTCATGATATTGGAGTCCTTTTTCTCTTGCTAAAAGGCTGACTAGTAACAGTTTAACAGTGATATTGTACACAATTATAAGATGTTGGCATTTCTCCATTAGAATGTTGGCTGAGACCTACCTACCTACCCATTTCTCAAAACAAACAGTGGCTACGTGGCACCTTTTCATTAGCTACTGAACTGGACTAGCTATGATGAACTAGTGACCTATGGGTGAAAGGCATTTTTATCCCATTATTAATCCTCGGAGCCAGAGAGTCCTTCCATTAAAAACTTATTTATGAAAACAGTTATAAGTCTCTGGGTGTGCAGTCATAAATCTATATTTTTATTTGTAAGGTTGCCAAGGTACATGGGTGTGCATGTACATCTGTAGACCCTGCTGTTAGAAATTGGAAGATTTCCAATGGACTTCAATGCCTGCATTTGTGTGGGTCAGTTCACATAAAAGTGAATATGTACACAACGTGCCAGTCTTCAGCATTTGAGTGTTTTTTAGCTGTTTTAACAATTAACTGCAGATTTCCTTTATGTTCCAGAACTCTATTCCCTCATGTCTGTGTTCTACATAGTACTGAATCCTTACAGTGAGGTAGGAAAAAGATAGATGTTGCCTTCCAAATCTCACTATTTCAGCATATCTGTCCTCTTATGTTAGTAAAGGAATAAACTGGCAAGTTGAATAACTTAGCTGCCTGACAGAAGACATAGGTTTGATAAATGCCAAAGTTTAATAGTGAAATAGCCTGATTCTGTCAAATGATTGGGTTTATAGCATTAGACACCAGAATAAAGCTTACTAAATTTATGCCAAAAAATTAGCCTTTTAACAGCAAACAAATGATGTAGAAGAGGAGTCTTTGGATGAATTGTGATGCAAGTTTTCTCAGAATTCACTCTTCAAGAAAACATTTTTATATGTTTTTTGACAAATTTAGATATATTAAGAGGATGAACAAATGGCTTTGCTGTTCATTTGTAGTTGGTTCATTTTTATGCCTTGGGCGATGCAAGTACATTTTTTTCACCTTTATCTGTTAATAAGCATTTGGGATGTTAATAGCACATTCATTCATGTGTGCGTGTGTGTGTGTGTGTGTGTGTGTAGATACAAACACACACATATATATATATAGGCACCTGCCACTATTATGTACTTTAGTTCTCCTGACAGGTTTTAGCTGCATGCAGCATACATTTAGAAACTGCCAAACAAAATTTAATGGTAACATATTCCAGTGACCTGAGTAGATGAATGTTAATTAAATTAGATAAATATTTTTGGTCTTATATGCATAATCCTATCAGCAATTCCATTTTTGGGGAAGTATTCAATAAACTGCTTTTTAGGAATAGCAGCCAGGCTTGGTGCAAAAAAGGTTGCAACCAGAAAAGTTTAATAATGTTAGTCTGTTTTAGTGCAGGGATTCAAAATTTGTAAATGTGTTTAATTATTTGTGCATGCAGGCGATGTCTATCATTTTGGAGTTTCAGGACTGAACATTGTGCCCTATTATTTTTTGTCAGAGTAAGGCTATTGACTGCAGTAATTTGACCAATTTCTATTTTAATAATTATTTTATATATACCAGAATCCCCTGTGTGACTTCAACTGGTTGTGCTACTTCTCTTCAGCTCATGTTCCAAATAACTCGTGTGCTATTTAAAAGTAGTTTCTGGATTTCACCCACTGGATGAGTGATATCTGCATAAGCTGGTACTGTATGTGCTACTTGTGTACTGTATTTTGGGATGAAATGCACTAAAGGTAAGATGATACCATCTGGCACATCTGGCACAGTTTCGGAAGGCAGCCTTCCCTTGCACTATGTGATATTAGGAAGCATCAGTTATTCAGAAGCTGGTCAGTATCTGAGGAATGAAGAAAATGTTATTAGATGATAAGGGCTAAATTCTTCCCTAGCGTGATAGCTCAGCTCCTGGAGTACCAGCAAAATAATTGGTAGGTTATGCTCTGAATGGTGTCCTTGATCTTAGAATTTACCTTCCACTCTCTTTATTTGTGCTAGACTTGAAATAAGTTTTTGGGACATGCAGTAAAGCCTCTTTTTACCTTATTTGTGGTTGAGAAGTTGAGTAATTGCATAAGGCAGTTCTTATCATTTGAATGTTAATTTATGGTGTAGATTCCTAGAGCTTGGGATGCATATCTGTCACTAAAATCTGCAGTTATATAAAATTCAAATGTAGCTCCAGCTTCTGCTGCCTGCAACTAAGGGTGGAGCAGTGCAGCATGGCTCATGAGGCTGAGGGAGTCCACTGCTAGAGGGCTGAAGGGACCTGGAGACCCTGCACTGCACAGGGTCATTGGTGCAGTGCAGCAGAGGTTATCTGCTGTGGCAGGGCAGGAGCCACATGGTATGCTGCAGTGTAGGGGAGTCCCATGCAGTTTGCTGTTGTGGGCAGGCCCCTATAGTCTAGAGATAATTATGTTTTCACAAAGGAGCAAATGGTGAGTTTGCTCCTGGTGCTTGGGTTACAGTTATAGGATTGCTGGCATAAGTTTGTAAGTGCTGAAGTTGTGCAGACTGCATTGTTATTGCAAACTGCTCATGAGCATCAGTGCTGTGCCCCATGAGCACTTTATTTAGGTATCATTAACATCTTCTGGACCATTACTTATTTTTCTTCTGCAGTTACAGTGGTTCTCAGCCAGGTGTTGCATGAACCCTAATGAGGCAGGAAATGCTATAGCTCTGTGCATGAGGTGTAAGGGTCACTTTTACCTGGGTGGGATGCTCCTGGATTCTGTAGGCCAGTCCTGGCCAGTTGGTCAAAATTCCCAGGCTGGAGTCCAGCTGGGAGGCAGCCAGGCAGGCACCGTTGCTCCTGTAAGGGAACAAGACAGGCAGACTGGAGCAGGTATGACCCCACCTGCATGTGGTACGTTCACACAGCAGCAGTGGTGCCTGACCAGCTGCCTGCCTGGTGCACCATGCCACTCTGCCTCCCTGCTGGACCCTAGCTCAAGACTTTTGACCAACTGGCCAGGACTGGGCAACAGAATGCAGGAGTGTCCCAGCCAACCCAGGACATATGGTCACCCTACATAATCCCAACCAACGGCAAAGACTTTGTGGAGCTAGAGAGAAACTTTTATTCGCAGGCATGTTATGACATACTTAAGGCTGACCAATGTTTGAGACCATTCTAGACGAGATGAATTATTGATGAAATCCTGTATGCCCATTTCCATGAGGAAAGATTATTGACTTCAAGACCTCCTCTGGATCCTACTTGATAGTGTTTCTTTGCTTTAGTGGCTTGATGTGTTAAGCAAACAAAAGGGACTGTTGACTTTATTAACAAAGATATACTCTTTTAACAACTGTTTTTTAACTGGCTGTTTTCTCATAGTATTGGTACTTGATCAGTTCCTACAGGGTACAGAGTATCCATCGCTTTGAGGTGTCTGTCTGTGCAAGTGTGTGCATGTACATGTATGAAGCCAAAGCTGTTACTTCAGACATTTAATGTGTGTGAAAATGACTAATAATTAAATATGTCGTGTCTAAGTTGTTCCATTGTTAATGATTTAGCTACATACTGGGTGCCTTTACACAAGCAATAAATGTGCCTGAATTTTATGCGCAGAAAATTCAGGTGCATTAAATTGCACCCCTGCACACATCAAGAACAAATTTGCTCTCAATGAGAGTAGTTAAGTCCAGGACTGTCCTTCCCTACTCTGCCCCTCTGCAGCATCCAGGGGAGCTCCAGGCTCCTCTAGGTGCCAGCCCTAGGCTGGCAGAGAGCATGGG